TATCTGGTTTTTCTCCTCGACTTCATGCAGACTGGCCTGGCTGGTCTTGGCTTCAAATGGATGTCGTCGTCTGCTCTTCTTCTCACAGCAATCAGTCTCACGTTGCCGTTCTCCTAACTACCTACCTACCTACCTACCTACTTACAGACAGACAGACATATGAACATGTATTCTCATATTTATGCTCTCAGAAGTACGAGACCATTGTCAAGGGATGCACCAGATTACATGGTCCGAGTGCAGAGATTATTTGGACATGAACCGCAGCTTGTGCGGAGGCACTGTGAAGGTAAAGATTGTAACAGAACGCTGCTGTTGATAATTGTATTGATGATTATGATGATGACGATGTTTATGACGACGACGACAGCAAGAATGATGACGACAGAAAACTTTCACAATAGTTATCATTATCATCATCCGTTTCTGTCATTTAGCGCAGTGGGAAGGAGCAGTTTGCGATCCATTGCTTGATGTTCAGTAAGTCATTCCGTGTCGATGTAGAAGCTCTTTAATGTCATCAAACAATGATCTCCTCGGGCGATCACTTGCTTTCACTTTAGATATCTTCGTGTGTAGCGCCTGCACTGGTCGTTGTGCCGGATACATTTCTGCTAGATGACCAAACCATTGTATCTTCTGTTTCTCCGTGTGAATGCAGCCAGACAATTTCCAACGCTGGCGCTACACATGGACATATCTGAAGTGAAAGCAGAAGGCCGCCCTAGGAGAAAATAGATTGATGGCATTAAAGAGCTTCTGCATTGTCATGGAATGACAAAAGCTAATTACTTATCAAGCACTGGATTGCAAACTGTTCATCCACAGAACGCTCAACGGCAGAAATGAAAAAAAAGACAATGTTAACAGAAAGAACATGTGATCAGTTTCAAGTTAGCATTGTAATAATCACGTGACTGATTTTTAATTTGCGGCTCATAGATGTACAACAACTTCACAATGTTGTTTATGCATTTCACAAAGGGAAGGATTGATTTTGTGCTTCATTATAAGTTGATTTAACTCCGTAGTAATGCACCTGACAAGATACAGCGAAATATGCCTCGCAATAAAGTGTACAGTATATTGATTTTGTCCGCATTATTTAAGCATATTGTTTATTTCTCTCTCTTATTCTCTGTTCCGATGTTTTGCATATTGTCTGTCTCTATCTTTAATTCCTTTCGTCATGTTGGAGATTGGAGTGGGAGTGGGTGGACCTCGGAGTTGAGCTCCTTTAGAAATTTTAGGAACAACTCACTAACTCAGGACCAAATTTAAATTCTCCATAACTCTCTCGTTGCTTATTTGAATGCACATGTAGCAAACACACAAATTCCCCATAACTCTCTCGCTGTTTATTTGAATCCACAGTAAGCGTACACTCAAATTCTACATAACTCTCTCATTATTTATTTGATTGATCCACAGGTAGCGTACACTCAAATTCTACATAAGTCTCTCATTATTTATTTGACTGATCGACAGGTAGCGTACACTGAAATTCTACATAACTCATTATTTATTTGATTGATCCACAGGTAGCGTACACTCAAATTCTCCATAACTCTCTCGCTGTTTATTTGAATCCACAGGTAGCGTACACTCAAATCTTCCCGGTGAAGGAGATCTCCCAGGCGCGGACTTTACTACACCAAATAGCCGGCATCAAGAGATCGCTAGTCGTGTTAGGACTGGGCATACATGATAATTTTAATGTGACAAATGTCTCCCAGCGTTTTCTGCTTCCATTACTCAAACTCCATAGGGAACTTGCTACGAAGAATGAATCTCCGTTGAATCTAATAAATGTGCCCCCTGTGTGGGTAAATATCGGCGCAAGTACATTGATGTCCAATGTTACTGATACAAAATTTAACAAAACCCTCTACACAACGTCACTGTCATTTGACAGGAATTCTACACGTAGCAACATAAACAATGGCAGCTTTGAGCACAGATTCAACCAGTCGATTTCATACTTATCTCCTCTGATACATTTTAACGTATCGTCTCTAAAAAATTTAAATGTCTCTATTCTTAAAGAGGCTATAGATAATCATGTCCTTGGCGGCGATTCTCAGTTGAATATGAATAGAACTAAGCAAACTTTGAAGTCTAACACAACAGTAAATATTTCTAGAAACACTTTAGACGATGGTAACTCACGGACGTATACAAACTATACAAATGTTGGACCATTGACAGGTCAAGTCAGTTTAGATTTTCGAAGGTTTCATAGTGTAAATGTAAACAATTTAGACGAATTAACTGTACCCAGAGTCAGGAGAAATGCAGAGACAAAAGTTAGTAACTCACAAGAAAAGAAAAACAATACTGATGTTGGACATACAAAACGCCTACCAGATCTAGTCAGTTCAGATTTTCCAAAGTCTCATATTTTAAAAGCAGAGAATCTGGATATATCGAATTCATCTAGAGTCAGGAGAAAGGCAGATACTGGCAACTCCCCACTTCCGATTACTTCTCAAACATCACCACGAACAACTGTGGACAACAAGCCGTGGCCTCGACTTCTATGGATAGGGGCACATTCTCCCGGTCTACTGAAATCTTCCAAGTTTAGCGAGCAGACGGCGGCAGGTGTGCAGAGCTTCAACAAGAATGTCTATAAAGTTCTGAATGACTTCAAAGTGCCTTACCTGGACACGTTTGAAATGACCAAGGGGGTTGTTAGCTTTGATGGGACGCATTATGGGTATGGGATCAATATGTTAAAAGCGAATATGGTGTTAACATACATACAACATGAACTTTCCCGTGATCCTGAGTGGAGATGATGATAGTGGCATAGGAATGTTATGATTTTATGACATACGTTTTTTTTTTTTTTTTTTTTTTTTTTTGCAAAACATTGCAAATATATACAGATCCGATACTTGTGTTATATTTATAAAAACATGTGGGGAAGGGGAGTTTGGGGGAAACACATATTTACATTAGGCGAATGTTATGACTTTATGACATACGATTTTATTTTTATTTTTATTTTTTTCTTCTTATTTGAGTAAATCACTGTAGACAGTTAATACATTAGTGAAAACTTATTTGGAAGCTGCAGAGATGTGGTTTTATAGACGACTGATGAAAGTAGCCTGGACAGATAAAAAAGAGTGATGAAGACGTCTTGAAAGAAACTTACTCACGAAGAGAACTAATTTACCCGCATCAGAAAGTGACAATCTACATTCTTTGGCCATGTGATGAGAAGGAGAAAACTGGAGTACGTCGTGACATTAGAAAGGTTGTAGGGAAGGAGAGGCAGAGGGAGACCAGAAAAACAGATGCTGGACGGTTTGACATCATGACTGGGAAGATCATCTGTATCAGAGTTGATTGAAAGTTTACGAGACAGAAGGCTGTTGATAGACATGACTACCAAACCCAAACGGCATGGACTTTTAGAAGAAAAAGTTACTGTAGATCCCGTTTCAAGGCACTTAATTGTTTACATTTCTATCTTAAATCGATCGAACGGCTTGTGCCCTTCGAGCTGCTACTTAAAGGTTAACCATACCATTATGGGATTTCAACAATATCAGTCTGGACCGTAACCCAACAAAAGGCATGTTTTAGATACCCCGTCTCGGGTGGCTGGGTCACACCCGGAGAATGGAGGATGTGAGAGTTCCTAAGGACATCCTTTATGGTGAACTAAAAAGGGGTAAAGCGGCGTCCGTGGCTTAGGCGTTGCAAGTCCGACTCGTAACCAAATGTACCGCGATCGAAACCCACTGCTGGCTACATGGATTTTTTTCATGGTAGGGGGCGTCGCCGGTCGACCCAGCCTTAAATGGGTACCAGGATGGCTGTCCTGGGGAAGTAAAGACGGCCGGCGTTATGCTGACCACATAACCCACTTAGTGCCGATTGGTCTGTAAAAATATGGGACGCTCTTCCCATATGCCCCATGCGCCTAAGGCATGAAAAGGGATCTTTACTTTTGATTCTTTTATTTTTTTAAAGACGGGTGAAAGATGTTTTTGCATAGAAACACCACAACAGTAAAAAAAAAAAAATGCTGGGGTTGGTTCTGCAAAGCCCTGTAAAGGATACGCCACTCACTTTTTTTTAAAGGATGTCGAGGCCGATCTCTACTACGATCTAAAGATGTGTGCAAGCAGGACATGAATGATACAGGTATTGAGATGGACTTGTGGAAACAAAGTGCCATGGGCCGTGTTTTGTGGAGGGGGCACACCAGTAAGGGAATGAGAATGAAGGAAGAAATTTACTGCAGAAAGGATGAGAGCTGAGCGTCTGAGAAGAAAGACTAATTATGAATATTGGCAACAATGGTCCTGAAATTCCATGCTATAATTGTAGAAGGCTTTTCTGAACACGGGCGGGTCTTGCTAGTCACACTTGCCTTTGCCATGGGCTGAATCCAATGCCTCCACAATGCGCAATATAACATTATCGTCTGGAAAGACGTAAAGGTGCCAGTCATGATTGATACCCGGTTCAACCTTCAACGAAGTTATTCTATTATATCCGTATCAGCAACACCAGCCAGGGGAGGGAGGAGTCACAGCCTATTGTGATAGCGAGTAAGACTAACAAAACCCGCGGAACTATGTAGCACATAGGATGAGCACTATTGTCGAAACCATGTTTTGCTCACGCAGCCTGATTCCTCACTCAGTCTGCCTTTTTTACCCCAAAGGAAGAGTAACACAATATTCACTGAGGAGTGTTGGGTAAATGGTTTTTAAAAAAGTAAAGGACCCTTTTCCACGCCTTTAGGCCTATAGGGCCTATAGGGCTAGATCTATATTTTCATAGACCAATCGGCACAAGATCGGTGATGTGGTCAGCATCACGCCGGCCGCCTTTACTTCCCGGGACTGCACCCGGAACCCACTCAAGGCTCGGTCGACCTGGGAGCCAAGGTCATTTTTGAAAATAGTCTGGCTTTGCCAGGGAGCGAACCCACGACCTTCCGATCCGCGGCGAGCGTCTAGCCGCTTGGCCAAGGCGACCGCCTGGGTAAATGGTGCCAGCTACATATTTCTGTTGAACAGTCGGCTCTTGGCACATAAAATGCATAATAACGTGTTCTGCCTTTACTTTGCATTTTCTGTTGCCCATTTTCATGCTTGGGCGTCCCGGGCTGGCAGATCAATAGTAACATTTTGCCTCGATAGGACTCAAACCTTTGACTACCGAAAACTCTAAAAATTTTATATAAATATTCACAACGATGGAATAAAACACAGTAAAAGTCTAGCTTTGGCAAACACAGCTCTCCATTGAACGACAGGTAAAGGAGACGATGAAACCTTAAAGACACTAGACACTTGTCTTTTCTTCACCTTGGCCCACTGGGACTTGTTTAGTTCTCTCCCACATCTCAACATTTAGTGACTCGATCATATCATTTAATTCTTTCTGTTATGCGCACCAGTTAATGAATGTTTTTAGTTTATTAGTAACTGTTTGACTTGTTCTCCAAGTGCGTTAGGAGCCTCGTTAGCGCAGTCGATAGGAGGCTCGCTTTCAAATCCAGCTGTCACCCAGCCTCTAGGAAATGGTTACTAGAAATGACACTCTAGAGTGAATGGAGGAACGTCGCTGTAGCTACGGAATTACGTGCGGACGACGACACAGGCGGACAGTTTCCTATCAGCTGGTCCGTACTGGTGGCAGAGCACTTATGGTTTATACCCGAGTGCAATGATTCACATCTCCCGACTTTGCCTTTACCTTTTTGTACTGATCTGACATTAAAATTTTAAGTTTTAGTTTTATTTTAATTTCTTTTGACCTCCACAACTGTATAGCACATTTGACCACACTTGATTTTTCCATGCGAGTTCCGGGGTCCTGTGGTGGGAAAAACAAGGATAGACCCACTGCCTCCCCAACAAGCATGTCGTAAGTGTAGACTGATTGAGGGCTTCCATTGAAGTCGGAGTGCATCTGCCTGAGAGTCCAAGATCCAACAATCTGTATACACAAAAAGTCAGATATGCAAAACCCCCTTGTAGGTTCCGGGGCCCTATTATAGGGAAAACAAGAATAGACCCACTGCCTACCCGAAAGCATGTCGTAAGAGTCAACTAATTGGGAGCTTCCTTCGAAGTCGGAGTGCATCTGCCTGAGAGGCAAGGAACCAGCAGTCTGCATACAAATGAGTCAGATCTGTAAAACGGATGCACACGCAACACTCAGGTTCTGGAACAGGACTGCAGTCCAGCAATGGATGAACAACTAGAACTTTCCGCCAGAGTGTAAAGCTGGTGAACGCGAAGAAGAAGAAGAAGATATGCACACACAAAAAAGACACTCATGTTCTGCAACAAGACTGAAGTTCAGAGACGGACGAACAACAAATTAAATACACTATTTGCTTGGTTTGTTCTCATTATCTTTGTCTTTTCGAATGGATTTTTAGACCAATATGTTGTGATCTCACTTCAAGTATATTTAATTTATTTTGCATATGATTCCGTGGGTGGGACAGAAGATAAGTATCAGTGAAGCCGAGAAAAACAAGCTGTTTTGTAGTGGCCCATTTAGCTCAATTTCTGTGTTAGTTGTTGCTATCTTCATAATCCAGTACCTCACCAGCAGAAAAATAGAGAGTCTTCTCTGTGCACCAGATGTGTTATAAGATTAATAGAAACACTAGACAATATTTAATACATCTATTATAAACATACACTTTTGTGTTTTGAAGAAATTGTTAAGTATAATCAACATTAATTGTAGATATTTAGAAGAAGGAAGTAAGAAACCAACCCCGGCATTTGTCGGACTTTTGTGATGTTTACTGTGAAGTTTACGTACAGGTTGCCATTGCTCTCTTACCAGTACTGATCTCTTACCGTCAAAATTAACAAAACCCTGTCTGCTTTCAAATAGCCAGTACAATGCCGTCTTCAGTAAAGGCCAAATAACCATTCCGCTCAGCTAGGATAGCTGTATGTTGTTTTTGCGGAGCGAAGTGAATAGTGGCACTGCGATTTTTTCAAGTGTATAATTTACCTTGCTTTCGATTTACATTTTCGAAACAAGCTGTTGTGAAGCGTTAATTTTTATTAACGATCCCCGTAAAATGTTATGTACCTGAGTGTAGGTCTCTCTAGCGTAGTTGATTAAACCTGACATCGCGGTGACCGGGTGATGAACTCCTTGTGGTCAGGTTCACTCCCGGGGGTAGGCAGAAAAGCCACATTTCTCCCAGATTTACGGTACCTATCATGGAATCAAGGTCGAAGGGTTGCGATATCCATAGTACCGAGCCAAAGGGTTAAGAACTCATTGTTTCTGGATATTTAAAGGGGAAAAAAACCTGAGTGTAGGTCGAATTATGATATTTCAAGTGGATATGTGAGTGTGTTTAAATTTCCTTCGGATGCCTAGCCAAGAAAAAATCTTGAGGTCTCAAGATATGTAGTTTTACGGAATCATTTTAAAACCTTTTTGGGCAGCTGAAATGATAAATTTATATGTTTAGAAAAACTTCACTTCAAGTGAATATGTGAGTGTGTTTAAATTTTCTCCGGATGCCGAGCCAAGAAGAAATCTTGAGGTCTCTAATGGTACTATTTTCTATCGTCCTTTTCAGGATGAAATTTTTTATTTGAAGCCCCCACCCTGGCTTTTGCCGGGGGCCGCAATATAGGCAGGCCATAAATATGGCCAAATGTCTGAACGCGGTTTCTGGGACCTCTCCACGGTGACCCTCATCCGCATGGTGGCACTTTGTGTCATCGGGTGTTTATCGCTTGTGTGATGTCCTGGTGGGGTAGAAAGTCAGTCAGTCAGTCTTGAGGTCTCAAGATATGTAGTTTTACGGAATCATTTTTTAACTTTTTAGGGCAGCTGAAATGATAAATTCAGATGTTTAAAAAAAAAATACCCGAAGACAACTTACCACAAACATTAGATAAAGTCAGCCATAATCTTTTGTCACTTTATGAGAAGGAAAAACTTGAACATGTCTTGACAACTAGAAAGATTTGTGAGAAGAGAGACAGAAGAAAACACAGCGAATTGATCCTTGACAACTTTTTGTCATGACATGAGATGGATCGGAAAATAGGTGGGGTGGTGTGGGGAGGGGTCACAGATTATCTGATACATGCTGTTGAAAATCGCCAAGTTGTGGATAGGCATGACTGCACACGCCAGCCGCAAGACACTTGACAATGCTAATAATAGCTAAATTAAAACAATTTAGGGAAGTAAGAAAACTATTTTCTGCATGTAAGGACTTAAGTATGCAATACATGTGAAGGCATTGTATATCTGGTATATGCATGATTATAATTCAGTTACACACACATACATACACACACATACACACAAACACACACACACACACACACACACACACACACACACACACAAAGAGTTCCCTCAGACGAAAACGACTTCCTACATGAGAGCAAGGATTCCATCAATGACAGCAACACCACAACAAGCCCAAAACAACTGACAAGGTGTATCCTAACCATGAACACTGTCTAAGAGCACTATAATAATACGAGTATATAATTTAAGCACTCTCTGTTAGTGTGGTCATCCTAGTTTATTCAAGGACAGACACATTGCGGCGATGAATTGATGATCAATAAATGAACAATGGGCTCTCCTAGCAGATTTGGCCGGCAAGTAGGTCGGCTTCGGTCGGCGTAGTGGGAGTTCTGTCCCTTGGCCGCACTCACAACAACGAGCGGAAAAAGTCACGAATCAAATGACATATTTACCTATCATCATCCTGGTGCGTGTAGGGTTGCGTACGGTTGCGTCTAGGGTTACCTATAATAATACGGTTGCGCGTAGGGCTGCGTAGGGTGTCTATCATCATCATACGGTTGCGTGTAGGGCTGCGTAGGGTGTCTATCATCGTCATACGGTTGCGTGTAGGGTTGCTTAGGGTTTGGGTTAGCGGTAGGGTTAGGGATTTGGGTTAGGGGTAGGGTTAGGGCCAGGGTTAGGGGTAGGAATAGGGTTAGGGGTAGGGTTAGGGATAGGGTTAGATGTGAAAATTTTCACGTAAGAGGTCGAAATAATGGCCGACAATCTGATGTTTGTGGGAGTGGCGCCACTGGAAGTGTGGCAAATATGTCGGCAATAGCGCGCGGCTGGTGCCCAATCGGTCTCGAATTGTCCGTGTTAGTAGCATCCACCGTCCGTAGACTGCTTGCGCGTGCATGCGACTGTGCGCGATTATAGGGAACTACGGCGTCACAATTGTCACATCTAACGCTACACCTAACCTTACCCCTAACCCTAACCCCTAACCCTAACCCTAACCCCTAACCCTAACCCTAACTCTATCTCTAACCCTAACCGTAACCCTAACGCTACCCCTAACACTAACCGTAACCCTAACGCTACCCCTATATCCTAACCCTAACCCTACCCCTAACCCAAACCCTAATCCTACCGCTAACCCTAACCCAACCCCTAACCACGCAAATTTATCGGTCATTAAAGCTTACAAATCGGCAAAACACCCACAGACAGACACACAGAAAAAAAAACCAGATTTTCCAGCAGCGTCAAAAGAAAAACCCAGATCTGGGGGACACAACCAAGCATTGGCAGCCCTGATGTCGACCTCACTGTCGTATTTGAGTCGTGACGTTTTCCGCTCGTTGTTGTGAGTGCGGCCAAGGGAAAGAACTCCCACTACGCCGACCGAAGCCGACCTACTTGCCGGCCAAATCGGCTATGAGAGCCGAAAAATGTCTGGCTGCTCATTTCTGCAAAGTAGACACACTGACGTGGCACATAGCCTTGAGGCAAGTCCATAACCAAGCCGTATTCGGCTTTGTGCCCACTCCTTGGGTCATCTATAGCTTGTAAAAAAAAAAAATATACACACACACACACACATTCAGCATATAGCAACTACTGTTTTCAGGGTTGTGTAGGGAATTGGTACTTAAGCTTAGAAATGAAAGGTTACATAGAACAGATCCTGCAAGATCGGTTGATTATCTCCCCCCCCCCCCCCCCCCCCCACCCTCGCCTACGGATCCCTCTCCGGAAAAATCCCTCAGTTTACCATAGATTCGACACTGGGTCTCGCGTATAAGAGCCTAGAGCTCTCTTATCGCTGGGTCAAATGTTATGTGTTACTTTGGCAGTCCCAGAAAGGTTACTTGACCTCCGCTGAAAAAACTTACCGAGTCTAAAGGGGGACAAATAATACTCATGTGGGGCAATATAACTGGAAGTGTGGTGTGCGTATGTGTGCTGAAACACATACACCAACCCACACACACACACCCACCCACACACACACACACACTACAACATCACACGAACCTTGGATCAGACAAATTTCACTATCAAAATCTATTCCTGGTGTCCAGTCCAACATTGATCCACACTCTTCCCCGGGCCCATATTCACGCATCTGATTACTTTTGCTTATAGATTGGCCTTTCCAATGGGATTCCTGTATTTCTCTACTCTCCCCTGCCTCCTTTATAAAGTTTTCTTTTGGTATCCTTCAACATTTTATTACTATGAATAAATGCTCTTATTTTGCTGTCCAATCAAATCCCTTTTTCAACTCTGGATTTCCCATCACCAGCGTATCGCTACTATAGCCTAAGTACCAATATCATCACCTCCAGTCAGGATCACTTGAAAGCTCATGTTGAATGTATGTTAACAACATATTAGCCTTTAACATATTGATCCCATACCCATAATGCGTCCCATCAAAGCTAACAATCCCCTTGGTCATTTCAAACGTGTCCAGGTAAGGCACCCTGAAGTCATTCAGAACTTTATAGACATTCTTGTTGAAGCTCTGCACACCTGCCGCCGTCTGCTCGCTAAACTTGGAAGATTTCAGCAAACCGGGAGCATGTGCCCCTATCCATAGAAGTCGAGGCCACGGCTTTTTGTCCACAGTTGTTCGTGGTGATGTTTGAGAAGTAATCGCAAGTGAGGAGTTGCCAGTATCTGCCTTTCTCCTGACTCTGGATGAATTCGATATATCCAGATTCTCTGCTTTTAAAATATGAGATTTTGGAAAATCTGAACTCACTGGATCTGGCATATTTGTCGACTGTCCAACATCCGTATAGTTTTTCTTTTCTTGTGAGATACAAAGTTCTGAAGCATTTCTCGAAATATTCGCTGCTGTGTTGAGATGATTTGCTTGTGGATTTCGCTGATTGCTATGCACTTTCAACGTAGAATTGGCATTAAAGATCTGTTCAGTTGTAGTCTCTTTAACAGAAAGTAAATTTAGATTCAACTGGTTCATTTGACGTATGAAGCTCCCCTTGTCTTGTGCAGACTTGTTAAAAAACTTCAGTAATGTCGCGCGCAGTGCATTCACTAGTTTGCTATCAGTATTAAACATTAAATTACTAACATCCACATTTCCTGCCCATACAGGCACTACGTTGTTTACCCCCACTTTGGATCTAATGTTTTTGGCCAATGCCTTGTGCATGTTGAAGAATGGAAGCAGAAACTTCAACGAAACGTGTTTGATATCAAAGTTATCGTGGATACCCAGTCCCAACACAATCATTGATCTCTTGATGCGAGGTAATTCATATAGTAAAGGCAGCGCCAGATAGAAGTCTTTGGCTGAGAAAATCTCTATGTAAACCATCTGGGGATAAAAATACGTAACGAGAGAGTTAAACATTCCAGGAAAAGTTTGAGTAGCCTTCGTTAAAATCTGTACTGATATTAATATACGAAAATGAAAACAAAAGTAAAGACCATTTACCACGTATTTAGGCTATTCGGCACACAGGGCTGGGTCTATATATTATAGGCGAATCGGCACTTGGTGGGTGATGTGGTCAACATCACACCAGCCGCCTTTACTTCCCAGGACTACACCTGGAACCCTCTCAAGGCTGTGTCGACCTGGTAGCCAAAGTCATGTTTAAGACAGCCCGGTTCCGTTACTATAATGAAAGGGTGGTCCTACTCATATTTCCTGGCCTATCTAGACACTGGATGACCTTTCATTTATACTTTCTCAGACTGTTCTACGTCAGAGGGGTCTCACGTTTTCTTTTTTCCAATTACATCAGTGCCGATGTCGCGTGTTCTATACTACACGACAACACAGCTTTTAACGACTCCAGAACATCTAGAACTGGCCCTAACCCAAACCCCCACCCACAGCCTGAGCCTAGGTCCCATGAGAGACTTTTCAAGGAAAAAAGTACAACGTAACACCCTTCTGACCTAAACCAGACTGAGAAAGTATGTAGATGGGCCAGGAAACGTGAATAGGACCAAAATGGTAATAGAAATTAACACAGTGGTACCTCGGTACGAGTACGTACTTAAGCAAACTGTTTTCCCCTAATTATTTATGACTAGGCCATAGATATGCCCCGGCTATATTCAGGGCGCCCGACAGAAGCCACGAAGGGGCTTCAAATGACCAAAAAAATTGCATCCTGCAAGGGAACGAGCATTGAAATATATCATCACACAATTAATAGTAAGGGCCTGGTGTGTTTGTTTATAAGCCTATTTACCTGCACAGTTCCGCCACACAAAACTTTGTTCCCATCAAGATAATCTCTGCACGGATGCCCTGTAATGTGGTGCATTCCTCTACACTGGTCTTGGTAATCTGGGAGAGGTTGTGTTAATATACACATAGCTCATTGACAATGTATATAGGATGTATGTAGTATGTAGTAGTATGTATGTATGTATGTATGTATGTAGTATGGTAGTATGTATGTATGTATTGTATGTATGTATGTCTGTATGTATGATGTATGTATGTAGTATGTATGTATGTATGTATTATGTATGTGTTATGTATGTATGTATGTATGTATGTATGTTATGTACACGGTATGTATGTATGTATGTGTGTGTCGTGTGTGTGTATGTGTGGGTGTGTGTGTGTGTGTGTGTACGGTAGGTAGGTAGGTAGGTAGGTAGGTGGGGTAGGTAGGTAGGTAGGAGGTAGGTAGGTTAAGTATGTATGAGGTAGTAGGAGGTAGGATAGGTAGGTAGGTAGGTAAGGTAGGTAGGTAGGTAGGTAGTAGGTAGGGTAGGTAAGGTAGGTAGGTAGGTATGTATGTGTGTATGTATGTGTGTGTGTGTGTGTGTGTGTGTGTGTGTGTGTGTGTGTGTGTGTGTGAAAACTTGTATACATTGTAATTAATTATGTGATGATCTGAGATGTGTTTCCTTCTTAAAATAATGATGCCAAGTGCCCTAATAACACACATGAACAAACTCAAAGTGATAAACAAGTAAAGGACCCTGTTCCACGCCTTCAGGCGCACTGGGTATATAGGGCTAGACCTATATTTTGTAGACCAATAGACAGTGGGGGAGTGATGTGGTCAACATTACACCGATCGCCTTGACTTCGCCTAGACTGGTTCCTGCGAAAGTCTGTGTTGCCTGTCAGCCAAGGTAATTTTTTAAAGGAAAACAAATAAAGTCTGGTTTCATCAGGACCCAAACCCACGACCTTCCGATCCACAGGCGATCGTCTAGCTGCTACAACTCAAAATGATGCTCATTATCAAATACGAGAGAGAACGAGATTCGAGATTAGATTAGATTTGATACCCCACCCAGACATCACACAAGCGATAAACACCCGATGACACAAAGTGCCACCATGTGGGTAATGATCACCCTTGGAGAGGTCCCAGAAACCGCGTTCAGCCATTAGACCATATTTATGGTCGTGTTATATTGCGGCCCCTGGCAGGAGCCAGGGTGGCGTTTCAAAATAATGAAAAAATTGCATGGAATGGAATGGAATGGCTTTTTACCCCACCAGGACATCACACAAGCGATAAACACCCGATGACACAAAGTGCCACCATGCGGGTGAGGATCACCGTGGAGAGGTCCCAGAAACCGCGTTCAGACATTTGGCCATAATGATGACCTGCCTATATTGCGGCCCCTGGCAAAAGCCAGAGTGGGGCTTCAAATAACAAAAAATAACGTCCTAAGAAGGACGTAATGAATTAAAAAATTGCATCATACGAAGAAATGACTTGGTTGAGAGAAAGAGAAGAGGGGGGGGGGGGGGTGCCAATGAGAGAATATTTATGAGGTCCGACAATTAAATAATGAGACTAATTCCATAAAAATTAAAATAATCAACAGTTGAAGATATACCCTGTATCTGATTCAAAGTAAGCCCTTTGTGCATCGATACAGCAAGTGGCATGATTTCAGAAACACTGAAACGATCTCTGTAGTTCTTCTGTTGTTATGGCCCTTGAAGTCGATGTTACGACCAGTATCGTTAAAGAAGCGTTCTTTCAATCGTAACTTTACTTTTGGGAATAGAAAATAATCACAGGGAGACAAATCTGGGGAATAGGATGGATGGTTGAGAAAACACGCTTGTTTTGGGGCCAAAAGTTCTTGTTTTGATGATGTCTCTTAGGTACAACCCGCTGATGTTTTTGGTCATCAGATAACGAATGTGCTACAGACCGTCAAACAATTTTTTTAGAGAGAAAAAGGGGGGGGGGGGCAAAATCTTGCACTAAAATGTTATGAATGGTCTCTCTATTAACACTAGATTCACCTTCCATCATCCTCACAGTAAAACAATGATCTTCTTGTATCCGTTCTCTGAATTTTGCAATGAGTTCATCACTGCAAACAGAAATTTTGCGTCCAGGTCTAGGTGCATTAGTAATCATTTTCACACCACTTTTGAATCGTGAATACCACCTGAAAATTAGTGCACGAGATAAACTATTATAACAATAAACTTTTTGCATCAATTCAACTGTTTCAATAGTGCTTTTTCTGAGTTTTAAAAAAGAATTTAATGTTAGCTTTTTTTTCCGTGCTGATTATGTAACGATGCACCTCTGAATATGTCAACAAAATGGCGGCTTGTTTGTTGTCTGCTTATCGAGTGGCGATGACAAGTTGCCAGAGTATAGATGAATGTTGCCTCTTTAGATTCCATGCTTTGCTTCACAGATGGCATTGTTGTCTTTGCCATAATAAAATTAGTATCATTACTTAATTGTCGGACCGTGTATATCTCTACACGTGTGTGTGTGCAGTGTGTGTGCGAGTGTGTGTGTATGTGTGTGTATTTGTGTGTGCATCTTAACAGTAAACATTCTTGGACTAGATAAGGTATGTGATGAATGACGTTGATGAATATGATTATGATGGGAACGACGATTATAGCGATGATGCCAAGAGCAATGCCATGATGATAATCACAAAGACCAGTCAATGACTACAATGATGATTAAGATGATTATGTTGATGAAATGTATTACTCTGAAGACAGCAGACAACTTACACCGGGGAGTAGTGTTCTTCAGTGCACCCTCTGGGTTGTTAGTCAGAAGAACAACCATAGCAGCGAAGACATGCCTGATAAAAGAATCTCCCACAAAATGAAGAGTTGTTTCGTTGAGAAGGCTGCATGCTTCTATTGAAGTAAAGTTTTTAACCATACAACGATCGTCTTCCGGTTTCCATTGCGCATACTCGGCGTGGATTGATTGCCGTTCATCGTAGCACGTCGGGCATCGACAGTCTGTTTCACTGACGTTGATACATCTGGAAGGAATATATGCAATGATTACATGTTAGTTAGTTAGTTAGTTAGTTGGGTTATCCTCATTGCACTCCGGACATGTCCATAGGTGCTCAGATCCTCCCCTCAGTATTAACCCCAACGTCCAATGGCTAATAGTACCAGTTCTATGTTGATTAACAAGTCTTCTGGCGTAGCTGGTGTGCGTCTCGTTTTTTGCTGTGCCGATCTTAATTCCCAAGTCTGCCATTCTGGCGAGTGATGTGGATTCACTGCCACCAAAGTCGTCTATCCTTCCCATTTCTCTGAGGGCATTGATAATATCAGCATGATCCATAGGCTGACCGTCGGTAGTGATAGCGGATCCAGCCAACCTGTCAGCTCTTTCATTTCCATCGACGCCTGCGTGTCCCTGAACAAAAATAAAGGTGACTCCACGGACAGTGGACTTCTGTAATGATTCAAGCCATTGTCTTCGCACTGAACCTGCCTGAACCCTCCGGATCATACTCATTGAATCACTGAGTATACACACGCGGGTGTATTTTTGTGTTTCAAGCCAGGCAAGCGCTTGTGTCACTGCCATCACCTCCATCGTCATGCTGCTGGTTGTCATGGAGAAGGCACCGTTGGCTTCTTTGACTGTTCTGCCCGCTGAGCGTGCTGTAAATGCCCATGCGCTTCTTCTTTGGCGTATAACGGATCCGTCTGTATAGATTATTGCATCTGCTTCGTCTGAATTTTCACCGATGAGAGCGTTGACCTCTGCATTAACAGCAACAGGATTCTCTTCTCTACATCGCCTGTTGAGTGTGACAATACAGGAAAATGTACAAATAAACGCCTGAGGCACAGGTATCCATTCTGCACCAGGTATGATGTCGGTTATGCTGCATATTTGCCTAATAACATCTTCTGCCCGACCTAGCCACGATTTCCCCCTCTTCAGTCTGTCGCCCTTTTCACTAAAAAAGCGCTTGATGCAGTGGGTGCTTCTTATCAGCACATATTTTGAGATATGCCCGAGCCTCCACATCCTGATCCTTTGGTTCATTGTTGGAAAGTCAAGTAGATACCTCATTGCTCCACAGGATGTGTCTCTAGTACATCCCAAAATAATGCGCATGGCTTCATTTTGCACCTTTCGAGTCGTTCAATCTGGGTAGCACTGACAGTGAGGATGGCCAGAGCGTATTCAATGGGGAAAAGGACCAGACCGTAGAATAGAAGTATTAGTAGTCTTTGCTCAATGTTGGAAGCAGCCATAATCCTCATTGCAGATAGACCTTTGCGTGCTTTTGTTATCGCATGGTCAAACGTGTTCCCTGAATGACAAGCTGCGATCGAACCTCACCCCGAGAAACGTCATAACGTTGGTTCTGATCAATACATTATCACGCATTTTCACTTCTGGTAAGTCCGACTTGACAATGTGATTGTTCAAAGAGAACCATGACACTGATGCCTTCGAAGGATTGACATAGGCATTGGAACCCCACCACACCAGGCGGCAATTCGATCGAGTTCTTTGTGCATAGTGCTGGCGATCTCCTGTCTATCACGCCCTCGTCGATAAATCAAAATGTGTCATCAGCAAATGACAAAGTCCTCCCCTTTCCATTCAACTGCTGCTCAGTGATCATCACCGGTATAAACGTTGAATAAAAAAGACTGGTGATAGCGGTGATCCCTGTGGCAAGCCTGGACATATCGTTTTGCGGTTCTGAGGACCAGCTACCACATCTTAGTACAATCTTTCTCTGGAACAGGACCGCAAGCAATCCAGCGGATCAGAATAGGATGAACTTCTAGTTTAAGCAGTAATTGCATTAAATAATCGTATGGTACTTTATTGTAGGCATCTTCTAAGTCCAACACTGCCGCACATGTCTCTTCTTTAAATCTGAAATCCCTTGTACACATCGTAGGCGAAAACTGCAGCATTGAAACCATGTCTCTTTATTTAACCTGTACCCCAATCCAAGTGTTGGTGGGAACTTATCATGTAGTTCCAAGTAGGTGGTCAATCTTTGTGCGACAATTTTTTTCCAAAAAGTTTGCCAACCGTATTCTGCATCGAGATGATTCTGTAGCCGCAGATCTTCGAGTGGTCTTTATTAGGCTTTGGTAGTGGGAACAAATAACTATGGAGCCATTCCTCTTGTATCTGGCCACTCTGGATGCTGATATTGAATTCCTTTGCCACGCTTTTCAAATCAGCATTCGACATCATCAGCATGTCGTTGTATCGGATGGCCGTCAGGGCCTGGAGCAGTGCTGCGCGATTTCTTGAGGCAAGTTCTTAATGTATCTGCAGTGATTGTGAGATCAGTGCCTAGCACAGTGTTCTCGCACAGCATCGACAGTTTCATCTTAACCCCTATTCTTGTAGCTTCGTCTTTTTTGGTCAGTTTGCTCCAAGTAGCGCGCCAGAAAAAGGTTTTTCCTTTATCAGCATCAGTTCTCTGCCATATCAGGTCTGTACCCTGAAAATCAGGAATACCCCTTGGGTCGTGCAGCGCCGTGCATGCTCCGTTGAAGGCGCCAGAATGTCACAAGAGATCCCTCGGAGCAAACGCTCTTGCAGAATTCGTTCCATTTCGCTGTCTTAGCTTCCTTCGCAATTAACTTGAAAGTCACTGTCTGCTTGTTGACCTCATCTTTCAGACTGATCAGGCGTTCAGAAAGTGACGGATCAATTTTTCCTTGCCTTTTGCCATGCTGCCTTGACAGCTTTCCTTTTTTCTAGCCACGCCATGTTGACTACTTCATTCCACCATGGTGGCTGGGCCCATCTCTCCCGCCGTCTGCGATCTGCTCTTGTTTTACGTAGTCGGATTTGCTAATGGCATCTTGCCCTGTACGGTCATATATAAAAAGCAGGCACATTGATTACATGACCTTTGTGTTTTGCTCTTCTCTACCAGGACGACGCAAGGAAAGTGATCACTGTCGTGGTATCCCAGTGTGCTCCACCTGCATCCTGATGCAATGGAGGGAGACACTAGGGCTAGGTCAATTACGCTTTCAGAAATCCCCTTGTCGTGTTGCCATTCGGGGTAACCTTTCCGTCGTTCAAGCATACTAGATTGGCAGACACTAGGGCATCCTCCAGGTCTTCCCCCTGTTTTATTAGTGATTACATTGCCCCACTGGTGTCCTCTGGCGTTGAAATCTCCGCAGTAAAGGACTTTCTTTTCCTCCGTCTGGAGCAAACTCTGCCATTTCGCCTGTATCCACCTTTCATTGCAGGCGTACACATTGACAATCACAAACTGGGCCGGGCCCATCACTCTGGACTGCGTGTGTACTTGTAGGTCGTCATTATTCCACTTAGACATGTCCACCTCAGACACCTGGTATGTGGTCACGAACAAGAATGAGCTGTCCGAGGTGCCGTCTATTGTAGAAGGATTGGAAGCCCGCAATTTTAATGATCTCGTCACCGAGGTGTGTTTCCTGTAGGACAACAATGTCGTTGCTGTAGAGGAGCTTCTCAAAAATGGGTCGGCGTTGACTAAACGAAGCGCAGTTCCAGTAGAGAACACGAACATACTTTAAACTGAGTCTTTCACATTTCAGCCGCTTCTGCTGCAGGCGCCACCGTGCTTGCCTGTTCGCGTTCTCCTTGTCCGTCTACGGGTTGTTTTGAATTGGTAAATAGTGATCGCCATCGGACGTCGAATACACCCTGAGGGAAGTCTAAACTAACACAAGCAATAACCAGCACATAAACACAAGCAATACCAGCACATAAAATAACCAACACAAGCAATAACCAGCACATAAATAACCAACACAAGCAATAACCAGCACATAGATAACCAACACAAGCAATAACCAGCACATAGATAACCAACACAAGCAATAACCAGCACATAGATAACCAACACAAGCAATAACCAGCACATAGAAGCAACCAAATAACCAAAAGCAATAACCAGTACATAGATAACCCAACACCAGCAATACAAACATAGATAACCAAAACAAGCATAGACATAACCAAACACACAAGCAATAACCAGCACATAGATAACCAACACAAGCAATAACCAGCACATAGATAACCAACAGAAGCAATATCCAGCACATAGATAGCCAGCACAAGCAATAACCAGCACGGTTTACCTACTTGTGTGTATAACAACAAGGCGTCTCTCCTTTGGGGTTGCAAATGGCTTTAAACGACATGTGTCTGAATTGTGGCGATTGATCGTATGACACATCCCCGCACCGCCCATCGTTCCTCTGGTAGGAAGGAGGAATCTTGAAGTCTCCCCTCGCCATGCGCAAATATTCATCAATCGTCGCCTGCTCTTGCGATGTCAAAGGTCGCTTGATCCATTGTCCTTGATTCATCCCAGATAAAATATTGGGGCATCTGCTATCTTTGATCATCGTCTTTTTGTCGTTATGAAGTGTACTGGAAGCATCCCTGTTATCTGCGGTATTTAACTTCCCACGTCTCATACTGTTTAGGAACTGATGAGGCCATTTCAGGTGCTCAAATGATGTCGATATCCTACTAAAGGATGTGAACTGTAAAGTCGCTGAACGACTCAAAGACACAAAGATGACACACACGACTCCAAACAGACAAATGATGATGAACGTCTGTCGTCTTTTCATCTTTACCTAGTTCTGTGTGACAGACAAAAGAACATTTATATATTATATATATATATATATATATATATATATATATATATATATATATGTGTGTGTGTGTGTGTGTGTGTGTGTGTGTGTGTGTGTGTGTGTGTGTGTGTGTGTGTGTGTGTGTGGAGGATGGCAGTCCCTAAGGACATCCTCTATGGTGAATTAATGATGGGTAAAAGATGTCGAGGCGACCTCTACTGCGCTTTAAGGATTTGTGCAAGTGGGGCATGAATAATACGAGTATCGAGGTGGACTCGTGGAAACAAAATTATATGGACCGTGTTGTGTGGAGGGGGAATATCAGGAAGGGAAAAAAATGAACGGAGAAGTTAATTCAGAAAGGATGAGAGCTGAACGTCTGACAAGAAACTACTTAAACACAAATGTTGACAACAATGGTCCTGAAATTCCATGCTTAAATAGTGGATGACTTTTCATAACGCTTGCTTGTCCCACTCGCGGTCGCCATGGGCTGTGAGTCCCATACCTCCTTATCCTCATAGGGCAATACAACACTATCGTCTGGAACGACAGAAAAGCGCAATACTTATATATATATATATATATATATATATATATATATATATATATATATATATATATATATATATATATATATATATATATATATATATTACAAACTCAAGTTTGTGTAAATCATCATCATCATCAGTTCTCGTTATGCCTAGTGGCACATGAGGCTTCAGAGAGAACTTTCCATGCTTTCTTGTCCTGTGCAATCTTCAATGCAGTTTTCCATGTCAAAGATGCCGCACTCAGGTCACTTTCCATCGTTCGTCTCCATGTTGTTTTTGGGCGCCCCTGTTTTCTCTTTCCCTCTGGTGTCCATGTGAGAGCTGTTTTGGCAGGTATATCAGAAGTCATTATTATAACGTGGCCAAGCCATTTCCATCTTCTCTTGGTAATCATACTGTCTAAAGTTTCTTGGTTTGTGGTTTAAAGTAGTTTAGTGTTTGAGATTGTATCTGGCCAGAAAATTTTGATAATTCTACGTAGACATGTGGGGTGGAAGGTGGACAGCATGTGTACATCTTTTTTAGTCATTCTCCAGCATTCCGGTCCATAGAGAAGAACTGGCAAAATGATGCTCTTGTAGAGTCGGAGTTTCGTTCCTCTGAAGTAATTGTTGGATTTCCAGATTTGCCTCATCCTTCCAAAAGCAGCTCTAGCTTTGTTCAGACGTGACTGTATGTCTTCCTCTGTCCCTCCCAGTAGGGACACCACACTGCCAAGATACGTGAAATGTTCTACATTTTCAAGTGATTGCTTATTTCCTCTTGAAGTTTCAGTAACGTTGTAGATTTTTTACAGGTCAGAGCTGTCAACACTGCGCCCAACCCCCGAGCCTGGAGGACCGGGAGGCCATCTTTAGTCTGGCCTCTCACCAATGACCTGTCCGGCTTGGGTGACCCTGCCAGGAACATACGTTCCCGCCGGCATAGCTCATTAGATCACTGAGGCTCTCAAGCTCCCCCAGCACTACAAGGTAATGGCCTCTGGGGGTAGAAGTTTGTGTAAAGAAGTCTGAAATATGTTGAGCGCCCAAGAGATTTCAGAAAGAGTAATGATAACGAATCTTAATCTTCTTCCATGTTTCCCCAAAGATAAGTAAAAAAGGACCATTTTACACGCCTTCGGATGCATTGTGCAAATGGTGCTAGACCTTAATTGGTGGTTAGTGTGGTAAACATCAGGCCGACCGCCCTTACTTCCCACGACTTTACCTGGCTCTCATTTAAGGCTAGTTCGATCTGAAAGCTAAGATCAATTTGAAAACATTTGTGTCATTTGAAATGATTTGATATGATTTGATTCAAGAACCGACATCACAGCACTTGGGGCATTCCCATAAGCGCTCCGTCCCTATCTTCAGCAACCAGCGAAGAGTTCTGACACTAATGGTGCCAGTAGCATTCTGATTAAACGTCCGTCTTGCCTTTCCTCTGAGCCTCGAGCATCTGCCAGAACCTCTCGTCACTTTCCACTGCATCAATCTCACCAGACTGTGGTGATCCATCTGCTCCTCCGCATTGTACACGCTCTCCCACAAGACACTAACCACGTCTGCCTTATCATGTATCAGTATTCCACCAAGTTGTGCAGAACCAGCCAGTCTGTCCGCCTGTTCATTTCCCAACACACCGGCGTGACCCGGTGAAAAAATCCAGACAATACTCCTCCATCGTTTCCTCGGCAGCGAAGCATGCCTCTCTGCACGAAGCATACCTGTTCTGATCTTCCTCATCATGCTTTCTGAGTCAGTTACAATCACGATGTGTGTGTGTCGCGTTCTCTAGCCAGCGGAAAGCTGCAGTGACCGACTCCACCTCCATTCCTAAGCTGGGTGTTGTGGTATCATATGCTAGGCTCTCCTGCACCAAACGTCGACCATTAACTTTTGCTAAGAAGCCCCAAGCATATCTTTTGCTTCTTGACACTGAACCGTCTGTGTAAATGATCAAATCGTCTGAGCGAGCATTATCTTGAATTAATTGCGGAATTTCCACCTCTGTGGCACCTGCTGGCCAGTTTCTGCATTCCCGGCTCAACGTGATTATAACTTTACACAAGGTCTTATCTTCTGCGAAACATTCTTTTTAACAAGAATAAAAATTAGCATATATAAACATATTTAAACGTTCCGCTCTTGGTAATTTAGGTCTGAAATATGTAATTAATTCACTAAGGCTTTCGTAACTTCTTTATGTGGTCCGTTCCGTGTAGTGCTGGTAGTCATGTCTACGCCTAAACTTTCTGTCTCGTGTAGTTTCGGTGAGTTCTTTCACAAATGATATCCCATGCGATGATGTCAAAGTGCCCAGCATCTTTTCTCTCGGTCTTTTTCTGTTTCTTCTCACCTCCAACTTTCCCACCGTCTTTATCTGCCTGTAGTGTTCATACCATTTGTATTAAAATCATATTTCCTCGGATTTCACATAATCTGTCACTGATCACCTAACTGTCTATGATTTACTTCTGTATGTTCCGCGTGTCGCTTTGTGGCTAAGTCGATGCGGACGCTTTGTAATGCCGGGATGCCTGGGTGCCGGGTTCGATCCCAGCTGCGGGCCATGCGCCTTGCGTTGGTTTTGACAGTGGTATCAGGGGGCTGACCGTCCAGTAGCAATGGCAAACTACTGGAGGTAAATTTGCATAGAGAAACCACACAACAGCCAGGGGCTGCTGGGGTTGGTTCTGGAACGTCCTGTAAAGGATACGCAGCAAACTTTTAGAGAAAAAATATTCCCTGTGAGGGTTCCGGGCCCGGTTATAGGAAAAACAAGAATATACCCCCAGTCTACCCAAAAACGTGTCGTAAGAGTCGACTAATTGGGAGCTTCCTTCAAAGTCGAAGTGCATCTTCCTGAGAGGCAAGGAACCAGCAGTCTGAATACAAATAAGTCAGATCTGTACTACAAATGCACACGCAAGACTCAGGTTCTACAACAGGACTGCAGTCCAGAAGTGGTCGAGCAGCCAGAACTTTCCACCGGAGTTTACAGCTGGTGAACGAGAAGAAAAAGAAGAAGACCTATGTATATCATAAAAGAATTCTTTTTCTTACCGGTTGACATAGATAGATTGCATAGAATATTCTTCATTTTTTAAATTCCGCCTTTGCTTGAGCGATTCTACATTTGACTTCTTTAATACGTCCTCTATCCCCTGTTATCAGATTACCCACATTGTCAAAAGTTTCAGCTTACTCTGAGATCAACCCATTGTGAAGACTGGTGCCAGGAAATGTAGGAAGCAGAGACACCTGATAATAAAGGAAGCGTGTCACTGATCACTATTTTAATCCGATCGTTCCATTTTATGGTATGTAGGGTTCGCAGTTATCCATCCATTGCATTCTTTCCTTGCAATCCTTTCGATGCCATAAATGAAGTCCAGTTTTGCACTTCTGTTCTCTCTCTCATTAAAGTCTGTTTTAGGGTATGCCTTGGAAGTCCTCGTTTTTTCAGTCCATTTTGCCAATCCAACTCGTCGAGTGCCAGTCAATATATACAAATACATGAAGCTTTTAACGTATGACCAATGCCTTTCTAAGCGTTAACATAAAGTTAATTAAAGTTAAATGTAAAGTCGGGAGATGTGAACCAGCGTCACTGCACACAGTTATAAACCATAAGTGCTCTGCCACCAGTACGGACAGATGATAAGAAACTGTCCGCCTGTGTTGCCGTTCGCACGCAACACCGTAGTTACAGCGACGCTCCTCCATTCGCCCCAAAGTGTTAACTCTGATACCCATTACCTAGAAGCTGGGTCAACCCCAGGATCCGCCCGGTTTCTAACTTAGGCCGTGGACTGCTCCGAGTGGCAGCTGGGTTTGAAAGCGAATCTCATACTGATTGCGCTAACGCGACCCCCCAAAAGGAAATTAAAACTAAGCATGATCCATGTATCTTTTACAGCGGTTTTTTTTTTTTTTTTTTAATTTAATATCCAGAAGCCATGAGTTGTTAACCTTTTGGCTCGGTACTATGGATATCGCAACCCTTCGGCCTTGATTCCATGATAGATACCGTAAATCTGGGAGAAATGCCTAACCCCGGACGTGAACCCGGGCCACAAGGAGTTCGTCACCCTCTCACCGCGAAGTGATGTTTAACTAATAACGCTAGCAAGCCGAGCCTTTTACAGCGCTAAGTTAAAGTACATTTGAAATTGAAGTCCAGAAGAGCAACATAATTGCATCAGGTTTTATCCCATGTTGCTTAGTCTCTCTTAGCAGAACGGCTAATCACCTGTCTAGCGTGTCGCACAAAGCACGAACTT